GACGCCCCGCCGCCTCCCGGCTCCGGAGGCTGCGGAAGCGGCTCCGTGGCCAACTTGGACCGGACCCAGAGCAGCTCCTCGGGAGACAGGATGTCCCTGGGCGAGTTCTGCAGCACGTGCTCCTTGAACCTGCCGGAAAATGGGAATGCCGGAAAACGGGAATGCCGGAAAACGGGAATGCCGGAGCCGCCCGGAGCCTGGACATTCCAGCATAGGGCACCTGGGGCGCATTTCCATGGGAAACGGGGGAGATTTGGGCTCCCTGGGGTGGTTTTCCATAGGGAACAGCAGTTTTCCGCAGGGAACGGGAAAATTTTGCTTCTTGGGGCCGTTTTCCGCAGGGAATGGTGGCATTTGGCGCTCCTGGAGGCCGTTTGCTGCAGGAAAGGGCAATTTTCCGCTGGGAATGGTGGAAATTTTGGTGCCCCAGGGCTATTTTCCGCTGGGAACGGTGCAGATTTTAGTGCCCAGGGGTCATTTTCCATGGGAAATGGTGCAGATTTTGCCTTTATGGGGGAAAAAAACCCCCACGGAAGCGTTTTCCATGGAAAACAAGGGACATTTCATCACCTGGATCGATTTTCCGCTGGGATCAGCGGAGATTTTATCGCCCCGGGGGAAATTTCCTGCAGGGAACAGGGAAGTTTTCCGGCCCCGTTAGGGAATCCCTGCCCATGCGGAAGTTACGGATGCACCGGGAAAAAGGGGGATTTTCCCGCCCGGCACCCACTTTTCCCAGTGGTGGTTGTAGAGCTGGGTGGGCATGGAGAGCACCCGGTCGTAGATCCCGGTGACGGCCCGGAGATCTCCCTGCTCCCGCTCCCATTCCACGTAGAGCTCCCAGAGCTTATCCGAGCGGAAATCCATGCCGGCCGCGGCCACGGCCGACTCGAAGACGCTGCGGGACGGAAGCGGGAAAAGCGACGGATTCGTTAGCGGCTCCGGTCGGGGGGAGCGCGTTCCGGTGGCGGAATGTCGCCTACCCGCGGATTTTCTGGACGGATTCGGGAAGATTCATATCCAGGGTGCTCTGGAGGAAGGAGATGTAGTGGATCCAGAGGTCCATGCTGAGCGGGATGGATTGGAGCCCGCGCTCGAACACCTGTAGCCGAGAGCGGCCGAGCGTCACCGGAGGCGCCCGGAAAAGCGGGAAAACGGGAGGCGAATCCCCCCCCAAAGGCCTCGGAGCCGCCTGGGGCTCGGAACGCGGCCGGGAGCGGGAAGCCGGAGCCGCCGCCGGGCGCCCGGGCTACCTCGCGAGGAGAAAACCGGCCCCGACAGCCTCCGCCGTCCAAACCTCCATCCCGGAGCGGGGCCGGAATACGGCGCGAAACGGCCCGGAACGGCGCCGGGCACCTGGATCTGTCACGAAGCAGGGACAGAAACGGGGGGTGTGACGCCCCGGAACGTCCCGGCCGGACGGCTCCGAACGCCGGGAACGCCGCGGGTGCCCGGCACGATTCCCTACCTCCTCGGCCTCCTTCGGGAAGTCGAAGCGGCGTTCCATGTCGGCGTATTTCTTCCAGTATCCGTAGCAATAGGGATAATGGGAGAAGAAGGCGTCGAAGGCCTTGCGGGCGGCGAAGATGTGGTTCTGCGGAGGCGGAAAAGCGGGAGATGGGATGGAAACAGGAGCGTGCCGGGATTCCCAGGCGGAAAAAGAGCCGGAATGACCCAAAATGCCCCCCTGGAGCCGCGTTTTGGGAGGGAATGGGGCTGGAAAAACAGCGGAATGACCCAAAATGCCCCCGTGGAGCCGCGTGTTGGGAGGGAATGGGGCTGGAAAAGCAGCGGAATGACCCAAAATGCCCCCATGGAGCCGCGTTTTGGGAGGGAATGGGGCCGGAAAAGCAGCGGAATGACCCAAAATGCTCCTGTAGCGCCTGGTTCCATACGGAACTAAATCCAAAAACTTCCCATAACGACTGTAAATATCAAGAATTAGAAAAAAAAAAAAAAAGTGTCTAAAACCCCAAAAAGGTCTTGAAAACCCGGACTCACCAAGAATTCGGGCCAAAAATACCATTATTGCCCAAAAACGTCCGGAAGGCCCCGTTCCACCAGGAATCGGGGCCGGGAATGTCACACATGGCCCCAGCAGGCCGGTGGCAGCCCCGTTTTTGAGGCCTTTTTGGCCATTTTTGTGCCACCGTTTTGGGGCTGTTTTACCCAACACTGTTTTGGGGCTATTGGGCCTTTTTCGGCCGCTTTTGCAACCCCATTTCGGGCGTTTTTTATGTTTTTGGTGGCACTTTTCCCTATTTCCCCCAGATTTTGGGTCCTGCGGGTGCTTTTCACCCATTTTGCCTCCCGTGGCCGCATTTTACCCATTTCCACCCACCATTTTGGGTCCTGCGGGCGCTTTTCACCCATTTTGGCTCCCGCGGCCGCATTTTACCCATTTCCACCCACCATTTTGGGTCCTGCAGGTGCTTTTCACCCATTTTGCCTCCCGCGGCCGCATTTTACCCATTTCCACCCACCATTTTGGGTCCTGCGGGCACTTTTCACCCATTTTGGCTCCCGTGGCTGCATTTTACCCATTTCCACCCGCCCTTTTGGGTCCTGCGGGCGC